ATACCAGTAAATAAAAACAAAAGCAGATTAAAGGTCTGATCATTAAATTAATACCAGTAAATAAAAACAAAAGCAGATTAAAAGTCTGATCATTAAATTGATATCAGTAAATAAAAATAAAAGCAGATTAAAATTCTGATCATTAAATTGATACCAATAAATAAAATAAAAGCTTTACAATAAAATTATTATTGTATGTTAGTGGGTACTAACTTAACAGATTAAAAATCTGATAATTCATTTTATACGTTTGTTGGTTATGAACAGCTTAAGTAGATTTATGCGGATAAAAAATATAATCCGATCATTAAATACATACAAGATCATCTAAGATAAAATCTACAAACTTAGCAGATTCAAAATCTGATAATTAAATTTATACGTTTGTTGGTATGGACGGCTTAAGTAGCTTTATGCGGATAAAAATATAATCCGATCATTAAATTGATACGAGATGGAAGCATCTGAGATCAAATCTAACTGCAGATACATAGATATCTGAATCATTAAATTGATAAATTCCTGGTCGCTCCAAAGATGTCACTCCTTTACTGGAAAAGTTCGACTGTAACGGTAAATCTACCTCAATGGGTGCACGATGGGAGCGATGGAAACGAGCACTATTCATTTACCTCGAAGCGTCTAACATTGACGAAGACGTAAAGAAAAGGGTCTCTCTTCTACATTTCGGCGGGCTAGACTTACAGGAAGTGTTTTACAACATTCCTGGAGTTAGCTCCGTCGAACCAACTGAAGGCAAAGACGTGTTTGAAGTAGCAATATCTAAACTTGATGCCTAGTTTGCACCAATACAGAACAAAGTATACGAGAGACATATATTCAGGCTCCTTAAACAAGAACCTGACGAAAAAATTTAAATTTTTGGTGAGACTGGGAAAACAAGCTGATAAATGTCAGTTTGCCGACAGAGACGAAAACATTATCGACCAAATAACGAAAAAATGTTTTCTACCCGGACAGAGAAAAACGATATCACAGATTGGGGATGAAATTACATTAGAGCAAGTAATCACCGAAGCAAATACTCTTGAAGTTGTTAATAAACAATTAGACGACTTTAAAAACCCACTGAAATCAAATGAGAATCAAGAAGTAAACAGGATGGATAGTAAATCTAAAAGGGACTTTGATAAATTAAAGAATTTTGTACATGGATTCGGTAGATGATACTGCCGAACGAAACAGACGTTGAAGCGGAAAGTGGAAATATTATAATAATATAGACATGATCAAAAAAAAAAAAAAAGGTCGTTTCGACAGGAAGAAGAACTTAAACATAGGGATATTATAGAGCCGCTAGTGGGTTCTTCTAAATGGGTGTCCCCTGTAGTGCCGGTGCAGAATACAATTACAATATTGGATATTAAAGATGCATTTACCAACTTGAATACATAGAGCCTGCTTCAAGAAACAACCACCTTTATAACCAGTAAAGGCTTATTAAGATACAAGAGACTCATGTTTCTCATATCGTGTAACCGAAAACTGGGGACCAGAACAAAAGGGGTATTTTAAGTCGTTGAAGGAAATCATGACAAATATTCCTAGCTTAGGGTATTATAATGTTAGCGATCGTACGATTGTCATAGCAGATGCTAGTCCTGTGGATTTAGGTGGAGTTTTAGTTCAAACTAATTCCAAAGGTGAGCCCAGGATTATTGCATATGGCCACAAAACTCTGACTGACTGTGAACGCCGCTATTGCCAGACAGAAAAAGAAGCGTTAATTCTCGTGTGGGCGGTGGAACATTTCCACATATTCCTTTATAGTAAAAAATTTGAACTTATAAGAGATCACAAGCCGTTGGAGGTAATATTTGGTCCTAAATCTAAACCATGTGCAGCCTGGATAGAGAGATGGGTTATGCGCTTACAATCGTACGACTATAAAATAGTTTACCAACCAGGGAAAACCAATATCGCCGACTCATTGTCGAGACAACAAATAAGCAAAAATGCGGAGAAATCCCTGATAAAATTGGAAGACAATCACATTTGTCATGCACAATGGACGATAGGAAAATATTAATCGTGAAAGAGGGTTTATATCGGAACATATGGAACGACGATGTGAAGTTGTATAAAATCTTACAAAATGAACTTTGTTTTCATGAGGGTATATTATTGAGAGGAATGAGAATTGTGGTTCCCTCGCCACTCCGTATAAGAGTTTTGGATGCAGCTCACGAGGGACATCCCGGTATCGTGTCAATGAAGGCGAGACTTCGTATGAAAGTCTGGTGGCCTAGATGCGACAGAGGCTGATAAAATTGTTAAAGCCTGTAAAGGATGTACTCTAGTATCTGCACCATGTCCACAAAACCCTATAAAACGGCGTGAGTTTCCAGAAGTGCTTTGGATTGATATCGCAATTCATTACAAGTGGTGACCACATATTATAAAGAAGTGAAGATTTGTCGCAAAATTACCTCTACTGAAATTGTAGCCAAACTTAAAGGAATATTCAGTCGATTAGTAAATCAATAACTGCAGATAATAGAAGACAGTTACTCAGCGAAGAGTTTAAATCATTTCTAACAGAAATAAACATTTTTCTTTTCAATACAGTACCATATTGGCTGCGACAAAGCGGAGAGGTCGAAAGACAAAACTGTGTCATACTTAAACGTCTTAAAATAAGTATAGCTGAAAATAAAGACTGGAAGGAAAGTTAACTGAAATATTTAACCATGTACAATGTACATACAACACATTCTGTTACTGGAAGAACCTCATCAGAACTTTTTTTCAAAAGGAAGTTTAGAGATAAATTACCTATGGTAAACGATACAATTGAGAGGACAGCACTAGACACTAAGGTTAAGGATAGAAAAAAAAAAAACAAATAGGAAAAGAAATCGGATACGATAAACGGAAGGCTGGATAGTGTGATTTAATACCAGGAGACATAGTGTATATAAAAATATGAATAAAGGAAATAAATAAAAATAAAATAAATAAATCCAGAAACACACACGGTGGAAATCACGAAAGGAGGAGATATCACGGTAAGAAACGATGAAATCGGTCAAACTCGAAGAAGGGACGTTGTACATTTGAAAAGAGTTCAAGGGGAATGGAATGTCTGAAAAGAAATGAAGTTAACGACGAGGAAATCAATGTCGGAACTTAACCCTAGTGTAGCTGCATAAAACTTTAATTTCATTAATTATGTTTGATTCATGTAAAATCCATCACATTACATCCAAGTTACATTAATGAGTAATCAGAGAGATATAATCAATAAAAACAAATAAAACAAAAAAGGGATGTAGTGTATTGACTAAATAAAGTGTTACTTGGTTGTCTCATGCGCCTACGTCACTTGTCAGACTGTCAGTCGTAATCCGACATCCGAACGGAGCGGTTGTGTGTAGAATGTTTGTACAAGTGTTGTGGTGTTGGTGAGCCGTAAATCAGTCCAAGAAGCAGGACATTAAGTAAATATTCATAAAAACAATCCTTATTAAATTATTGAATTGCATCAAAATTAGTAACTATTATTTAATGTTCAAAACACTTGATATCATGTAATGTATCAAATGTGTTCAATACCTCGTAATGGATACTAAAGAGATACATTACTGCCATATTAATAGACAACGCAAACTATTTTTTTTTAATTTATTCAAAACGTACGTAATTCATTTTAATAAAAATACATACATTATTATGTTTAAATTGGTGCCTGATAGTATCGGTAACCCCAGAGCTGGTGCTTTACTCGCTAAACTAATAAGTATCGCAATACAGCGAGGAAATGCTGCCAGCGTTAAAGGTACACTGCCACAGGGACCAAACTTTTTAAATTTGTTTTAATTCTCTATTTATCAATTTTAATTATTATTATTAGGTATTATGAGGGTTAACCCTAAAGTTAAGTATATAATAGGGTTAACCCTATTCTATAACTATTCTTAAGAATAGTTATAGAATAGGTGTAAATACTAAGAGTATTTGTGTGTTATTAAAAAGTTTGCATATACATAATAAACAGCTTGACAAACTAAACCACCGAGACATTTTTTTATCACAGGTTAAAAGAAAATATAAGGTATCTGGATTTGTTACCCTTTGGTAAATATGTTATGTATATATGTCTGTATGTAATATTGTATCACAATGGTCGGATACACAACGTTTTTACTTTTAAAATTTTTAGAGACAATAGCGTAGCCTCTCTTATCAGTCATAATCAGTACGTTAGAATTGTGTGGATATGATTTTTTTTTATTTATTACCAAGACTTTAAAAAAAATTACACTGTAAAACTCAAAAAGATGAAAAATTTAGAAACATTTACACCTTCACACAACACAGCAGCATTAGGTATTACTTAGTTAAATAAATTTTCATTTTTATTGATTTTTTCTTTTCGTAAATGTTTGAACTTTTTTTTATATATAATGTGTTCTATGTTTGGCTATATCTTGAGTATAATTAGTGTTTGTTAAGTATATATAATTTATGTTAGCTGTAGGATTACGAAATAAATAAATAAATAAACATATACTCGATAAAGCAAAATATTAAAAATCTAATCCAACGAATATGTAGAAATATTATTTTATTATGAAAAATTATTCGTAAAACCACTTGATTAAGTAGAATTTAATAAAATGCGCACGTTGAATTGGCCTGAGATTCTGGGTTTTGGCAAGACAATGTATGATTATGGTATGAACCGGAATCCTGGAAGGCTGTTTAGAAGTAAAAATCCATATCCAATTGCATATAGAAAACATGACCGCTGTCGGTGAAGTACGCATTATTAAAGACGGTAGCGCTTCTCGCATGTCCATAATAATCCAAAATGAATATTGCACCGGCATATAAGCCTATGCCATACAATGCCACTGTTCAGTCGTTTGTGTTGCAGCCTGTGACCCAGAATATATATAAAATGCCGATTTATGTTTAAAAATGACTTAAGACTTTATGTGTTTGTGATTAAGTGTAAAGTGAAGACATGTATAAACATGTATACCGGTGTCGTGTTTGTATGTCTGTTTGTGTCTGTTATTGGGACTCGAGTTATCATTGTGGAAAATGCGCCAAGTATGTATTTATCATATATGTATGTAGGTGTATAAATTACATTTAAAATACAAGTACTCCAGAATCAGTTATTTTAGTAATTCAAATGAGTTCATCTTTTTTGGAATCCATTTCCACAAAAATTCCAAAAAGTATTGATAAGACCTTGTTGCCCCCCTTTTTTTATAACAACAGGCAAATGGGCAGGAGGCTCACATGATGTTAAGTGATTCCACCGCCCATGGAGACATTGCCAGAAGGCAAGTCCGTTCTTAGTGTTTTATGAATTGGTAAGCTCTTCTAGAAGAAACCTAATTCGAATTGGTTCGGAAATACTTCAGCGGGTAGCTGGTTCCACATAATGGTACACGGCAAAAACTGCCTTATCAACTCTCAGTTGTTTTAACGGAAAATTAATTGTTAACTTAGCGGGCTTTATTGGTAGCGTAATTGCATCGTAAATGCATAGCCATTACATTTACCTTTTTAACCTCTATTTTATATAAGTTGTAGCTAGAACGTATTCAAATATTTTTGGTTTTACAAAGTATAACTATGTTTCATTACGCCTAGCAAATAATCTTTTGAAAAGTATATATTCAGAATATATCTATTATTAAAAATAATAGAAAACAAGTGCAGCTAAAACGTAAATCAAGTATACCATAAGTAACCATTGTATAATAAGGCTGGTGAAGGCTTTTTATTCGCCTTTACAAGAGTACCCCGCTTTCTGGTGGTAACTAAAATATTGGCAGTTCAAAAGTTTTTAATTTGATAAATCATTGCTTTATGTAAATATTTATTTTTGGATTTAAAAATTAAGCTAAGGAATAAAATCGTTTATTAGTCAAATATGTTACACAGGTAATATAGAACTGAATAATTAAATTTAAAATATTCATACATATTTTTTTAAATATTGGCATACGGCCTCACCTCACAAAAGCATCGCAAGTGCGTTGCCAACCTTTTACGTACATTAACCGCATTCATAAAACTAAATCCGTTAATTGTACATGTCGTGTGATTAGATATCAAAATAATATTTAAGATAAAAAGCAATTTTTAGTCATTATATTTAATATAATTCCTGTTTTGAACAAATTAACCCGAAATATTTATAAAATTATGACATATTATTGTTTGTGCTTTTTATGCCATCTTTAACATCAGTGTCATGTCCTGATTTCTTACATATATAAGAAGAACTAAATAAAGTATTAAATACTAACAGTTCTGTTGTTTTTATTACATTTTTATGCACTGTAATCAACTTGTATCAGACAAGAATGATTTAAATATCCGTTTTAAATTTTTAAAGAAGTCAAAAAAACAATAGGAAATAAATGAGTCAGTAGGTCGTTTTTTGTTCAGTAATTTACGATGTTTTCATACAAATTATGTTTTTGTCTAACCAAGGGTATTCTAAAACGATGATGTCAGATGTAAATTGTACCATGAACACATATTTATAACGCTAGTTAAGTTGACGTAATTCGTGGACGACTAGCAAAATCTTTTTTTATTTGTTATATATTCAGCTGTAATTACTGGATATTCTCCTATAGGAATTGCCTCCAGGCACCCAGATCCTGTTATAACTAATAATACTATACGAGTATTTACTATATATCAACCAAATCCTCAAAGGACGGCAATGCTCTTTCAAGTCTTCTAACGTCCGTCGGCACCCCTTTAACAAAAAAAAACATGTGTGTATTTATGTACACGCGTTAGAAGTTATACTCCTTTGGCGTAACAAGATAAAAATCTTTTTAAATTTTTTATTCTAGGTTTGTAGAAAAAACGTCATTCAATCATTTTTCTCTAACGCGCCAAAAGAAGTATGACTTCAAAAAAACTAAAAGTGTTGACTAAAGCTAACTTCAGGGTGTCGGATTTTCGTGACAGTGTGCGCGCGTATCGTAAAAATTTACTCTCATAATTTTTCCCTAACGCGCTAAAAGAAGTATAACTTCAAAAAAGGTTTTTTTGTGTTTAACTCATCAAGAATTATGATATATCGCCTTCAGAAATGAATCTCAAAATATTGATAGAGACAATTACAATAATATCTTTTTAATAAACATCTTTCTATGGTTGGCGCGATAGACAGTCCCTTGTGTAGAGGCTGTTACAGCGTAGAGGAATCAGTCCCACCTAGAATGCGTTGCTGTGGCTTTCCAAATAAATCCTCGGAGCAGTGAGGTCGGTCCGAGAAGCCTTCGAAGTGCCCACGAAACTTCTGAGCTCCTGAAGGAGCTAGGCTGGCTTAATTAGCCAGGACTTTACGCACAACGGACCAAATGGGCGTCTAACATCCGAACCCAATAATTAATCCACAATCTCAGATTGAAAACAATCTGAGATCAGACCGTGGCAGTCGATCGATCTCCTATCTGCATCCCAATAATCAAACCCTACGAAGTCAATCCATTTTTGGCGACGGATAATATGCTCTTTGTCGTTCCACTTTACCGATTTTACAACATTAAAATATACATGTCTTTGTTTACAACATAACAAACAGATTATTAATTATTTTAAAAACTAGTGTATGTTAAAATCTGTTAAAATAATGAACTGTTGGAATCGAGCTTTCGTCAACTGTCATTTTCATACAAAGGTCTATCCACAGACACCGATCCGACCTCCCATGGATAGCTTGTATCAACAGATGGCAATTACATCCGATTGGTTATTGGCACACTTGTTACAACATTTGGATTAAGATTCCTATCTCAGGATTACAATACAAAAAAGGATTGAGATAGGTTATTGGGTTTGGGCGTAAGTGCGGAAACTGAGTCCACACTACACGCATACATAATACCGGCTTCAGAACTTACCGACTTAGAATACGCCATTCGTAGGACCTGGCTACTGCAGAACCCAGCCGAGCTTTTCAACTACACTGGACTAAACCAGCAGTATCAGTTTTTTTAGTTTTCAATCAGTCATTAATAAAGCAGAAAATAATTAATTTATCTTTTCTCAGCGTGTTTCCGGCGAGTCCTGGCTGGGCGGCGCGCCCTTCGTAGCAACGTGAGGCGGGTGGTGGATTGCGAAAGACTGGAGGACTGCATGAGGGAGTGTGCCATCGAGAAACGGTTTCATTGCGAGAGTTTTAACTACAGGTAATTAACAGAAACAGATTTTTTAATCAAATATTTGTATCAAAGTATCTTCGCTCGCAGATGCGCCCGCGTGTATTTTGTACACATTTTTTGCGACCTCTTGCGAACAACATAAACCTTAATGAATTATACATATATGTAATAACTTTTTTTAAGCTTTGTCAGGACACTATTTATTGAGTATTGGCCGGAGGTATTTTATATCATGTAAAGTAAAAACCTAGTTCTTGTATAGTTTTCAGTCAATAGTCAATATAGCAGGATCTCTGCATTTAATTTTTTATTTTTTTTATATATATTTCGATCTGGAGTATAAATTTATGAGCGTTATCAAAACATAAAACAAATTTAGAAGTAAGATCCCAGCTCATAAGGAAATCTTTTGAGGTTTGTAAACGTACAAAATGAGTTGAGACTAATATTAATTATTATGAAGTAACGTTCACACGCTGTTTCGCAGTATTGTATTTATTTCCTAGTTTTTAGCATTTTTGGTGACTTCCATTGTTTTTGTTAACTGATCTCCGCCAAGGTCCAAAATGATTGAGCACTTTTTGCACTTGGACCATTTTTAATTGTTCTCATTCAAATAAATTACATACGATCATTTATTCTAGCTATGTGTCCATGTTTTTCCATAATTTGTGTTAATATATCCCAGCCTTGAGTGACAAAATGTGGTTGACATACTTACACGTAAAAAAATTTGACCCTAGAGACTTTTTTAGAAAAACAGAGTTGGATGTTGAAACCCTGGCTAATGGAATATTCTTTCTTTGTACGCAATTAACACTGGCTCGTAAGGCACACATCGTGAGAAAATCACTTGAGACCTGTGTCGATGAGATGTATCAGGCACACTTGTCTATTAAATATAAACGATTAAAGAAATGGAAAATGTCTGAGGTCCAGAACGAAGGACTCAGGGAAAAGAGCGTACTATTTTTGAAAGGCTGGCAACGTACTCGCGAGCCCTCTGGCGTTGTGAGTGCCCATGAGCGTCGGTATCACTTTACATAAGGCGAACCTCTTTATATTAGCGTTTGAGCGACACTTAATTATTATTTAGACGTTATAAACTGACACCTTGTTTTATTTTTATTGTGAGCTTTTATAAGAATCTTTTTCTTCACTGCGCGAACAAATACGCGGGGTTTAAACGCGCGTAGTGATTTAGAACACTGCATATCGTCTTAGCGGTAGTTATAAAATTCAGAGCCGATTATTTATTAACATGTCATTCCAAATGAACACATCGATGATATCGGAAGAACTACATTCGGTTTGATCATACGTCACATACATGCTATTAAACTTTATTATTACGAATTTGCAATGCCACTCAATATATGTTGAAAAAATAATATAAAAAACCAATGGCGCCAGCTTTTGGTCTTGAATTCAGATTTCTGTATCTATTTCTTGTTTAGGCATATGAGGGTAAAAAATTTACGGACGAAACGCAATAATAATAATATTTGCGTCACGAAGATGTGCAGCGTTTTTTGCCGAAGAAAAGGGAGGAGCGATTGAGACCGATTGAGAGAGAGTGAGAGGAGAAGACCTTATAGAAATTCTATTTTTAAAATTAAAATTTCGTAAAGAGAATTTATGAAATATTAGTATTTTATATTTTATGCCAAAATAATTTATTGAAATCTCAAATGATGAATTGTAAATTAAAATGCCACATAATTTATTATTGAAGAAATAAATAAAATTTGTATTAATTTTCGACACTTAATATTTTAATGACAATTAAATTAATTAAATTCCTGACATAATATCTTCCTTTTTCCCTCCCTCTAAGTCTCGGAAATTTAAAGTTTTAGATTTGTATGAATTTGAACAAGACTTAAAAATTAGTTTGCCAAAGAAGTTTCACTTCTGACGTGTACTTTGTACGCACGCACTTTTGAAGAAATTTCAGTGTGACACGCACGTAGGCTCTCACACAAGTTTAGTATATTTCTGCATGGTGGTTCGCATAACTTCTATAATATTTCAAAAGTAAACAAAAACTTAAAGAATATGTAGACACTTGAATAATTACGTTGATTAATTACCATTAGTTCAGAGTTCGACCTCGGGTCGTTGCAATCTGTAGGAATCATCTGTATTGTACGCCAGCCTTGCGTATGCACAGGCACGGATTCAGGACGTGTTCACACTATATTATAGTAGTGCTAACAATGTTATACTTTTAAAGTAACACTTATGTGAATTGTGTAATTGCTCAATAAAACTACCATACATTAACAGAATACAGTTGTTTTTCTATAATCTTTGTTTAAATTTGTTTCCGCTTTATATTACGTTAATATGCTTAGTAAAAATTGGAGTCATGACTTTGAATATCAAGCTATGAAGTCTATTTTGACATTGGCGAGAACATGTACAACACAAATGTTAGTTGATATTTTTCTTTTAATTTGATTTTGAGTTAACATTCACGAAAACTTCGTATTGTCTAGATAAATTGTTTACAATATAAACTTAACATACAAAAAAAAACTGTCAATCCTGACCTGTCGTATAGTAGTAATAGCAATAATTTGCATAAAAGACAGCCCTGTGTGGTTGACCCAAATTCATTTAAACACCATAATTGAGATTTTTACAAGGTTAAAATCTATTGTCATATTACATTATATACTTTACTCTCAGGGATTTCAGAATACGCAACTTAAATGTTAATTTTTTAAGTTTTGTATAAAGATCGAATCTTGAAGATTTAGTTTTTTTTAAATAATAATAAAATACAATAAACACGTTAAAATATCTGAAGGCTAAGTAGATATGGTGGACTCATAAACTCAGAGTTTTCTCTTACAATTTTTTTCTTCTGAAAGATGCGTAGAGTGCTACGAACCTACGAAATCATAAAACTAAGAATGTTTAGTAGGTAAATAATTTTTTTTCTGAATATGTAATATGTTAAAAAAAACAGTTGCACTAAAACTAGGTCTAGGCCTCAGTTTAGTGATCAGCCCATGTTAGTTTAGTGTAGATGATCAGTCTTCTGCGACTCAAATACGCCGTCAAATTTTTAGAACCCAGCCATGGCTGGTTTCGTCACATGTTTTCCATCATCGTACGAGCGAGTATTGGTTCAGAAAGAAAAATCCCTTGGTTTTACGGCTTTAGGCTTAAATCACTAGGCCAATATTGCTCTTTGTAATAGGTACATATTATAATGTATAAAATAAGACTTTTTTTTAATTTTTACGTATAACACTGTCTTTCCTTGTTATTATAAAAAAATCTTTTCTCACACTGGTTATCCTAAAAAGATTGCTTGTGAGCGATAAGGCTGCTATACTTATTACATCTATCTATGGAACATATTCTTGTTTTTTTTTGAAACCACAAATAGCTCCTACATAATCAGTTTATAAATTAGCCCTACAGATCTAGTAAAGATGGAGATATTTTTAAAACATAAATTTACAGATTGGACCCCAGCTTCCGCGGAAAAGGCCTCTGCGAATTAATGACAAAACCCATAGAAGCTTTCGACTTGCACCGCGACTTTGTTGACGACAAAAATTACGATTTCTACGAACTGGACAGAAACAGCCTCGAACCAAATTGTCCAGAAACTTTACATGGACCAGGCCTTTTGCATTCTGGTTTTTTATCGTCCAAACAAAAGGGACAGGAAAGGGTGGACTGGTATGATGCTGGCTACAGAGGTGTGAGTAGACATGATGAGAGACGAAAGTATACACAGCATAAAAGATATGAGGACGAGTTTTTTGTGCCCTATCAGATAGGTAAGATATATATATACATAGTAATTACTTTAAAACTTCAAAATGTTTGGCCCGTATTTATCTTACACTTGCCATTAAGAATTTTTTTTTTCAATTACACCTGGTCAATGAAATGCATGTATTTTGCAAAGGATTTTGTTTTAAATACAGAAAGAGAGCCAGCAGAATCAAATAAAAAATGTTTATAACTAGTGAAATATTTTTAGCAAATAATTAATCATTGTCGATGTCTTATTAAAAAACATTTAGTTAATTATTAATAAATTAAATATGTTTAATTATTAATTTCTTAAAAATTGAATACCGATACGTAATCTTTTATAGGTGTGGTAAAAGGTGACGATCGTGAAAATTGGGGCCAGTACGGTGGATACTACGGGAACTATGACTCCTATTACAAAAACAGGAACGATTTCCACAAATCATATAACCACTGGCGATTATCGGATCTCGATAGACAATACGGCGAGAAACACAAGGACTTTGACTACAACACTCTAGGAAAGCACACCACAGATCACACGTATGGTGATATTCCGGTTTACCCAATAGACAATAAATTTACAAGTAGTAAGTTTGGACAGTCAGATGTAGTACATTACACTGGAAAAAAGTTTTCGGATTTTGATTACACAAGTGAACATAAGGATTTTGAGTTTGATCATAGTAAAACTGCGGATTTTAATCATAATATAGAGAAGCAGTCGGATTTTGATCATCATATAGGTAAAGAGTACTGGGATTATTTGTCGTGGAAGAGAGGGAGATGGAATACGTCAGAAGGTTGGAGCAATTTGGATGATGATAGGGAAAGTGTGGGTTGGGAAGGGAGGAGTGAGGATACGGTGAAGGGTAAGAGACTCTTATTAAACTAAAACTAAATAAGTCTTATTGCAATCTTTTAACCTCTTCACTATATCTTATAACCAGAAACAGCAAACTATTCATTGGATAAGTGAATTACTAATTTGTTTTTTTAATATTTAATTAATATTGTACCTTAATTTGTTTTATAACTCGGTTTATTAAATCTGGTATTTGAATAATAAAACCCATGTGAAAATATCAACATGCCCAAAGTTACGTGACTTAATACTGAACTAAACTAATATTTCAACTAAAAAACACTTTATCATTCGTTTACACTTGTTTCCATTACAACAAATCTTTACTTTGTAGTAATTCAGACGCAATATGCAAGCAGATCACATCCACCGAAAAATTAAATAGGCTGCTTAACATATATACATCACCAGCTCACCGCCCACAATTTAAAATAACGGGTAAAGGATTGGCTTCTGAACACACCTTCCGCAGAGTTGGAGATGCTACTAAGACCTAACATGTTACACATTCATACACATTACACTAACTCATACAATTACGCGTGACTTTTTTTTATTAAAAACAATATTGGGAGAAGAAAATGTTGCCAAAAAAATAAAAAATTAAGTATTGAGTTTGTTATGGAAGAGCTGGGCTAAAAGGTTTCCCAAATACATTTTTCTTTTATTTTTATTCTCTCCTGCATAGACTGCTCCTCTCGTCGTCGTCCTGGAATGTCTCTGGGATCCGGCGCAGTCCGTCGCTCCCTTTTCGCCAGGACTGTGTTAGATTGTGAATCCGCTTGCTTTGGTGAACAGGAATTTAAATGTGTCTCATATAGTTATAGGTAAGTAACGCAGACTGAAAAAGTTTGTTTCATAATTGTCAACACGTTGGTTTATGTTTTTTTTTAAATATATATGTCGGAGAAATATCGTCAGTTCATCGATATTAACAAAAGGCACGAATTATTGTTCAATAATTAATTCAGAATGATTCCTTTTAACATCCATAACAAATGACACTTTAAGCTTTAATTATTATGAGCCGATCTCACAAAATATCTTTAGTAAAATTTGCTTGTTTTTAAGCAACTAGCAAGCATGAATTCCTTCGTCTGTTTTTACCACCCTATACTCTATGGCTGATCATCCTATAGTATACTAAGCGTTTTATAGTCTGTGACAATAACCATCTAGAGTAATTAAAAAAATTAACAAAGATTTTCATTTTCTTCAAATGTTTGCTCCATACATTTTTGATCTTAAAGCTAATCGCTATATCATCTGAATCTTCAAAATTTGATGTTATATAATATGACCAATGTTTTATATTACTTTTAGAATATTTATAAGAAATAAAAACAGTTACAAAAAAATTCGCAGACCTCATATAATCTGTACAATAAATATGAATAAAATATAATTTTATTGCGCCTGATATAATTATATAGCAAAAGTCTGTCTTAGATTTTTTATTTTCAGTTTGGTTTAATTTTCATAGATTTTTTCTTAAATGTACGATGCTTGTCTGGAAATTTTGAGCTCTGCCACTTACGTCATATATAAAAGTAACTCAATATTTTAAGGTACTCAAGTACACCTGGTTCAGACAACTGTTACCTCAGCGAGCGTCCCTACAAAGGGCTGGATATGTCAGCAGATGTTGACTCTGACGTGTACGCCATGCCGCAGCATCAGGGATGCCACACAGTCAGCACTAAACCTTGGGTTGAGAGCGGTAAGACTTTTTTATACACGAATTTATAATAGTTAAACGTGATTTGTCACAATTTTAAAATGTTTACAAAATTTTCTTAGCAATTAAAAAATTTAGATTTAGAAAATGTTAATCAATTTGTTTTAGATGCTTTATTCTTTATAGATACTATAACTTTTACAATGAGTTTGTGGTAAGTCCACCGTAAACAGTCATAGCAACATGACAGATGATAAATAAAACATAACTAAATCTTAACATAGAAATGTGGGGGATTTTTGGAATCTCCTACCAAACCTTTTTTGTGTAGTAACTTTAAATTGTAATAAATTGTTTTCCTATTACCATACAAATAGTATACATTATTTGGCGTTTCTTAAGCTACAAATACTCAATTTAATGTCTTCATAAATTCCCTAAATTAATAATAAAAGAAAATATTTCCTTACAAAGTTACAAAAAATTACATAATTTCACAATTTAATGACACAATGAAGACAATTTATAATCCACAACGTCCAATATCGGCGATCACCGTCCGTCCCTATCTTTTATTCCTTACCCTCAACATATTTATTCAATTTGTCCATTTATGAGTGAAAATGTCCGAAAGCGACTTAGCTTTAACGAGATCTTCGTTACCAGGACATAACATAAAAAACGTTAACATGTTATAAAATTGCAAATTATTGTTTCTGTCTGCTTAGTCTATGGTATAATAATCTGGAGTTCTATAACCAAAAGACTAAGAAACCTAGTAATTTGAAGCTTTCGTTTCAGAATGTTTCTGGCACGTCCGTTCTGGCTCCGCCGTGTCTGGAACAGCGGTGAAGGCGGCTCTGACCGTGACGGGTTTGGGAGCCTGTGAAGCTGAATGCATCAGAGCTCATAAGTTCTTTTGTAGAGGATTTAGTTTCAGGTAGGCTAAGGTTCCAATAAGAATTGTGTTTTGATGGAGTTTGTGCTATGTGTTAACATAAACGTTGCTACTGAATGCTGTCTCCGACACTATCGACATCTTTATATGTTCGCAGAGTGAGTTCACAGTAGCGATATTATGTATCTTATGTATTAATATTATGTTATGTTTATTTTTTTATTATATTTTTTCTGTCATTATCGTATTGGCTTAGTAACTGTAAGGATTATGTATGTATTTTTGTAAAATATGTAAATAAATAAATAAATTTATTGCCAGTTCTCTTCCGTTCTACACCCTTGATTTGAGAACTGGCAGTTAATGTAAAATTAGAAGCATTTCTTATAAATGTATTTTTTTTGAAGTTCATAAGTGTACAGTGTGTTACCTATATGAATAAATGATTTTGACTTTTGAATAAATGCACATAAATTTAACTGAAAAATAACCCCGACAATACATTTTTTTGTTTAGAATTATGTTTTTAAAGCAATTTGACATTTCTTTTGACCAGGTTTGAACCTCCCATCGGTGATGACATAGAAAACTGTATTCTGACCTCATCACCTCCAACGTCACTAGAAACGGGGAGGGGACTTCGCCCTTCTATCGGACATGAGCTCTACTCGAGAGGAAACTACGGGCGTGGTTGCGAACCAGCCTTGTATGATGATGTACAGCATAGAGAAACGCGTAAGTTTTGTGATTTGGCATAACCGTAATGATTTTTCTTTGTTCGACCCAGTACAGGTTCGATTTCCCTTGTCAAATTCTTAAGTGTTGCAACACTCCTACGAATAATGAATGTGTATCCTCCTTTTGTTTCTTTTTACCTCTACTGTATTTCACCCCATTAAAAATCTAAATACCAACAGTGGGAAAATTCAAGACATACAGTATAAACTCTATAACGAAGTTCAATTTACCGTCAAACCTCCTTAAACGTCCAAATTACACGACGTTTACCTTATTTTCAATAGAATGTTTAATAATAATAATAATATAGCCTTTATATTCTGAAACTCTGTGATCTTTCACTACAGAATATGTCGGAGTTGGCACTTTCCTCTCACCCTTTCCACTGTTCTCTATCCTATGCGACTCTTCTCCAGTTGTAGCCTACTGTTCATTTGAGTTCGTCCTCCCATCTTTTGCGTTGTCGGCCTCTTCTTCGTTTTCCGTCTCTAGGGTTGGTACCCTCTATCTTCTATGGTATCTTCTTATTGCTTCTCTATGCTTGCTGCAGAGTGTTACCTTCAGTACGACAGTTCAGCTCGTCTCACACCTAACGCAGTCCGAGGCCAAGCACGAGTCGGCAGCGACAGAGCGTGCGGTGAAGCCTGCAACGACGCACCGTTTAGATGCTTAAGTTTCTCTTTCACGTAAGTCTTTTAGACTCTCTTTTAATAATTATAATATTTCTGAAGTGAAACTTCTTTAGGCGCATGAGGGTAAAATTTTTACGGATGAAACGTCACGAAGATGTGCAGCGTTTTTATCGAAGAAAAGGGAGAGAGTGATTGAGACCGATTGAGAGAGAGTGAGAAAGGGCGAACGTAGCATGAAGCAAATAGCTATGGAGCGAGAGTAGGGAGCAAGTTAGTGAGAAAGATAGAGAGAGATTGTGAGATAGAGCGAACGTCGCATAACGTCTTTTGCAGTAAACGCAGATTTTTTATTGATTTATATTATCATTAGCACGTATACAGTGTGAATATAGATATACAAATACATGGAGTATTAATATAATGCTGCATGATCATCTATTGGGGCTTTTACCTTAGTAATAATTAATTTACAAAGAACTTTCACTTCTGACATGTGTACTTAGTACGCACGCACTTTTTTTTTTTATAGAACAGGGGACAAACGGGCAGGAGGTTCACCTAATGTGTTGTGATATGCCCATGGACATTGCCATAAGGCTCGCAAGTGCGTTGTCGTTTAAAGTTTCGTGTAAATAAAAATACTATATCTTTTGTATCACCTAAATATTAATTTCAGTTTTTGAATTAACAGTTAAAGTTAAGAGTTACAAAAATTTATATTAAAATAAATAAATCAGTGGCGCTACAACCTTTTTAAGTCTAGGCTTCAGATTTCTGTATCTGATTCATGACCATTTGTTAATCTAATAGGCAAGTAGGTGATCAGCCTCCTGTGCCTGACACACGCCGTCGACTTTTTGGATCTAAGGCAAGCCGGTTTATTCACGATGTTTTCCTTCACCGTTCAAGCGAATGTTAAATGCGCACATAGAAAAAAAGTCCATTGTCGCACTGCCGGGGATCGAACCTAAGACCTCAGCGATGAGAGACGAAGCCACTTGGCTAGCACTGCACTGCTAAATTTATATTAATTAATAATATACTTAATGGTATTGATATTTTTTTAGAAATAACGGACCACCAGACACCGATAACTGTCTGCTATCTGAAATCCGACTGTTCGATCTGCAACGGGGCGTAGATTATGAGCACTCGGGCGATGATTTGTTGTTTGCATTCGATTTATTCAATGGACAGTGTTGGAGGAAAGTCTACGGAACGCATGAGTGAGTACTTAATTATAAAACAAATTAAAGTACCGTACACATATGAACGGCAGTAATTTTTTGTAAACAAAATAAGCTAATAGATTTCTCCAATGCGGCAATAATGGTAATAGTATGGCACAGATACCGGCAAACTTCTTAAGCATTAAACATGGGAGTGGGGGGAAAGTTTGCGCATCGTACACATACGCGGGACACAAACGTCAACTGATTTACCAATCACGTTATCGACACGTCACTCTCCCGCCGCCGAACCCCTCCCATTTGGGACATTTGTTCAAGATGTTAGCCGGTATCTGTATAGCTATTTACATTTTTATTATACACAACACAACAATAAACAGTAATAGATTGAAATATTTACGAAAGACTTATTTAATACAGTATAGGAACTGACATGAAGAAAACCTTTTGTCAGTTCAACGGACAATTATAAATGTCTGTGTATGCAATTCATTATTTCCATATATTGTGTAATGTGTACACTTTTCTAGAGGTTAGTTTTCGTTAGAGTCTCCTAACGTAATCTTTCACCCTGAGGTCTAGCCCCTGGAGTACTGCCGGATCAGTTTCCTTTCCACGTAACAATTCTCGGAACACTCTTAGTTCGTTGTAGCCCACATAACCTATTATGAATATAGTTGGGATACCTGAGCGGGTAAAATGGTGATTGCTCCAGTTCAAACAATTTGTATGACTCAAAACATAGCGATTCAAAAGAGTGGCGGAAAGTTTCTTGCCAGTTCTTCTAGCCCGCTCTACGTCCTTGACTTGCGAAGTGGTAGTAAATGTAAATTTAGAATTAATTTAACTTCTTTTATGACTTTATATGTGTACTTTTTTACGTATATGAATAAAGTTATTTTTACTTGAGTTGATATAGGAGTATGCACTTACAGTACTGTGGAAACAACACGCAAACACGTAGCGTGTTTCAAGGTGAAACAAATTCATAAAAAAGATAACTTAATCATAATTATTTGTAAAGTAAATATTTCGTAACGTTCTTCGACGTTTATAAACAGCTAAATAGATAAAAATAATGTTGAATATTAAGGTGAATCGATAGTATGGAATATTTAAAGTAGTACTGTACATACGTCTTACATAAAAAAAATACTTATCTACTAATGAAAATCATTCTCGACTCCACTTGAACACACAAAAAATTACATCAAAATGTGTCCAGTCGGTTAGGAGTTTAATTACGAATACATGCACAGAAGATTTATATAAATATACAAGCCGGTTATTTGCTGTATATATAAATAACCTAGATACTGACTGCAGTGCTATCTGCCGGGCTGATTTTTGAATCTAAACCTACCAAGGCGCCACCGAAACTATCGGTCCAGCAGTTTTTTCCACTATCTAACTTACTTTTAAATTTACAGACTTCTTTAACTCTTTAACTTTTAGCGTTGCTTCATTGTTAAAAAATAGTTCGTCATTGTTAATGGGGTTGCCTTTTGCTAACCTATTTTGACCTAATGTTTTATGGGAATATTTTTAGTAATAACAACATTGATAAAAACAATGTCATTTATACATTCTTCAAGTTTGACATCATGTTTATTTTGTGTACGAAAGGATAATTTTAAAAAGTGTTTAATTTTAATATAAATATGGGAACCTTTTCGCCAAAGTAAGTATAAAGCTATTATTTTATTATTATATTGCATGAATTGTATATGCGCAAAGTATATATATTATATTGAAAGATATAGTTAGAAGTGTATTTATTTACGTTACTCATTGACTTTCAGAGAACGTTCTGTAAATTTTGGAAAAGAAGAGGACAGATTTAGAAATTTAATAGAAAAACATAAACACATCTTATTTAATAAAAAGACAGACATTTCTAACAATTTGCAAAAAAAGAGGGCATGATCATTCATGCAAATTTAATGCCCTTTCAGATAATAAATATGAAAAAGAAAATTTTTGAGTTGCGTGTTCAACATCTAAATGAGAAGAGGAAGAACGATGAAATCATTTTTAAACTACAAGAAAAAAATTACTTACTAATAATTATACTAAAAGGATGTAAGATTGTATGAAAGCGCCATTTCTAATGTAAAATGTATGAAAAGTGGTACTTATTTACCTTTACAATAAAAAATAAACTTACTATAACTTGATCAGAATAACTTGAAACTTAGTATAAAATGCTCTTCAAAATAATTAAGCAGTTGTGTGTATCAATGTTATAAAATTAGTGTAAAAAATAATAAAAACTGTAAAAAAATAAGATAAGATGAATTAATTCTTATGTGCATAGGCAGGCACAACTATGTAATGTTTTAATTCGGTAATAAAAAGTCATATTATTTTTGTCAAACATTTTATTTCTCCACCAAAAGCATGCAATAGCAATATATTATGTTAATCCTTCACCATATTTCACATCCATACCATAAAATAGTTATAATCTGAAAATAAGACAGCTTTAAAATTATAATTTGAGATTTGTTTTCTTTGAAGTTAAAAATAATCTAAATATTAACATACCTTGCAAAATAATAATAATTTAACTATGTATATCACATATTAGTATAAAATTAAATTAAGAGAAAACTAGTTTTCTGTTTGTTGTCAATGAAGTTAACTTTTGGTCTAAATTAATAAAATCTGTAGGCTGTAATTCAGTAAGTAAAGGCATATTATTTTTGACAAATATTTTATTTCTTTACCAAAGGCATGCAATAAGCAATATAAACAGTATAGAATATCTTAGTCCTTCACCATACCACCCATACACCCATGCCATAAAAAGATATAATCTGAAATATAGGACATCTTTAATATTAAATTTGCAATTTATTTTTTTGAAGTCAAAAATAATCGTAGTATTAATATACCTTGCAAAATAATTATTAATCAAACCATCTCTAATATTAAATTCAGAGGAAACAGAGTTTAGGAAGTACGAACTACGAAGTTACAAACCAAAATTTGACGATTACCAATGGTTCAAGCACTGGTTAACGTAAGCGTAACTTTTTAACGAACGTAAGCTGTCATAGATGGTGAATCAACACTTTTTTTGTCTAACGTTCGTTAGCGCCATATTTAACGCTTACGTGTCCGTCAAAATTTGTTGATGCAACCCACCCTAAGAGGAGTTCAGTGACAGACACGTACAGTAGAATTATACATATAAAGATATATATATATAAAATTTGTTTATAGGGTACCGACTATTGAAATACCGCATCCACTGATTCCTACGATAGAAGAACACCATCCTTACAAACCTGTGCCACATGGACCAGGTAAACTACAATATTAAAAAATAATAATAAAGAAATTTGATTAAAACTAAAATTATATATAATAATAATAATAAAGCTAGTTTATTTCCAATCTTCACAGTTTAGATTTGTTATGTACATTTCTTTTTCTTGTTACCCTAATATCCTAACTTCCTTCAGTACCATTGATGGAACCCCTGCGCGGGTAAAGGCCATGGCTTTCTTCCTCCGTTCACTTCCTGTCACTCTAGGGTGCCCTATTCCCCTTATTCCCCTCTTTTCCTCATCATATTTTCTATTGCCTGCGTTAATTATTAATTGACTTTTCAGACTACATCACGGGCCCCAGTGGCCCCAGTGGTCCCAGCTATCTAACCGGACCAGATTCAAACCCGGATTATAAACCCAGTTATTTACCTATCAGTGGACCCAGCATACCACTTGGCCCTAGTGGCATTAGTGGGCCCAGTTCTACTGGACCTATTGAACCACCGAGGCCCATATATGAACCGTACAAACCGTACAAACCAGAACCGCACATTCCTAAACCTTATAAACCTAGTTATTCTAACTCTAAACCCTATTTCGATAAACCGTATACTGTCGAGAAACCAGTGAAGCCTGTGACACAGGGTAGTGAGTTATGTAAGTATTTGTTTGTTCTTTAGTGTTAAGGACCTGGTCGACCTACTACAGTATAGTACATTGTTTTTTTTCCATTTTTCGTAATAGTTTCTTGAAGTAGGGAGAATAGAAAAAATATATGGTGGAGTTCAGTAGTCTATGTATCCATTTTGAAAGATCGATACACGATTTAAATAACTTCGCTTGATAGAAAAAAAATCCAAATATAGCCAATTTTTGACACCTGAATTCATTTTATGACGAAAATGTATATAGATTTTTTAGAACATGTTTTATCGCAAGCCAAGTAATCCATTTCAGAAAAAAAAATTGATAAATTTAAATTAATTTAATGTTTTACATAACTAATTGTTATTAAGGGCTGGCGCGCCGCTCTCCACTGCGCCCCGAGACACTGACAAAATTCTAAACAATATATACATATTAATTGAATAATTTAATTAACTGCTTCATTAGAACAGTTTTTATCAACATACAAATTAGATAATAACGATATTGACAAAGAAAATTGAGTTATATATCAAACTTTATTCAGAGCACAATTTTTTTTAATAACGGTGCAAACCGGCAGGAGGCACACCTGATGGTAAGTGATACCGCCGCCCATGGACACTCACATTGCCAGAAGGCTCGCAAGTGTTGCCTTTTAAGAATTGGTACGCTTTTTTCTAAGTCGAGTTCGGCATTCTCTAGTAAAAATAATATTTTCAATACATTCATATTTGTAGGTATAGGTCAAAAAGTGTAGAATTTTTTCAAAGTGGCTTTGGTGAAGTAAATAATAATATATATAATGTTAGGTTAAATATATATTTGTAGCGTCATGGCGTCATTATACCGTGTCCGGGTTCCCGTGCCGAGCAGGCACTACATGCGCCCAAAACCTTATAGCGGGACATTGGGCCTGTGAGCCTGAAGGGGGAGAGATTGGTGAGAATATATAAATAATTTCTGGTCAAATAACATATAGTATGACATTTCGTTATATATTCCTAAAAATTAGTTAAAATCTAATAAATTTTGTTACAGTTGTTTAGTATGTAATTTAATTTATAAAACATTGTCAAATATATATATACTTTTTACTTCTTTATGTAGATGAGTTTCAAGTCTTTTAAAACTCTTCTACATAAACTTTTGTAATTCTTGTATTTCCTATTCTTTTGTATTGCATCGCAATTCATGAATCCCTGGGATAAGCATTTTAGTTTTTTTTGTTTTTACCCAACATATTTTTTTCCTTACTAGAGTTGCCTGGACGAGGCCAAAAGGCCGCCCTTAGATATCTTATTATGTTTATATATTTCTACAATATTCTTAACCTACATAGGTAATAATAATAAAGATAGAGTATTAAAACAAATTCAAAAGTTTGGACACTGGCAGTGTACCTTTAATGGTGGTAGCGTTGTATATGTTATTACCAAATATATATATTATCTAGATATTAAAATTATTTAATTATATAAATATGTATATCCTGGCGAAAGATTGTCTTACTAGTTCGTTGATCGTTCTTTAACCCAGGAAGACCCGAAACTGTTATTTCGGGAATCAAATTGCGTAAACATATTATAGTAATCCCTCCTGTAACGCGGAAATCCAGAACCGCGTTAAAGGAAATCGCGTTGTTTTAACAATTCGAAAAGTAGAAACACCAATTTAATACAGTTATTTAGTTAAATTTTACAAAAACACAATTGAAGGTACGCAAAACAAATTATGGATTTGACAAATCATTATAAATTTCTCACTATGAAATATAACATGAGAAATCTCTCCGTTATGGAAATATCGTGTTATATGGGGGACGGAAAACGCGTTGTAGGGTATCACGTTATAGGGGGGATTACTGTACAAACGATATAGTTACATACTTACATTGTTTATAGGATCTTGGGATTATTGTTGTGCGCCAACGCATCGATGTGGTTATAGTGAAGGATTTAGGAAGCCATGGTATGTTTTTTTAAAATTTCAACATTAGATTAACTTTACGAAATAGTTACATTAAAAATAAATAAACTAAAGTGGAAATGGGCGGGGCACATGGCAAGAGGAACAGAAAAGTGGAGCAAAAAACTACTAAACTGGTGCCCAAGGTACAGCAAATGAAAAAGTGGGGGGGGGGCAACTTAGAAAGTGGATAGACCACATTAAAGAAACAGCAGGTGCTATGTGTCAGAGAGTGGCACAGTGCAGAGAGGAATGGCGGGATTTGGAGGAGGTCTTTTTGTGGTTTGAGGTTGGAGGTCTTCCGAAAAGATACCACACACGGCACACACCTAAAAGAAGATTGAAATAGAAACGAGTTTAAATGTAAAAGTAACTGAATTAAAAGGCTTTTATTATTATTATAATAAACTTGTATTTTGTCGTAAACTTTCTTTTTTCTTTTCTTGTTTTCAAAGATTAGCACATTTCCAGGTGTTTAGCTGTGTCTTTTATTTCCAGGTGTTACGTGGGCCAAGATGAAGACCAGTGGCGACCTTGCAGTGAGAAGTACTATCCTTACCATCATCACAATGTACCGCACCCATCTTTAGGTCACAGAGGTAATAATATCATTTTAGACTAGTCAGTGCCCGTGACTTCGTCCGCATTGGATTTGTCTTATTTGACAAATGAAATACACGTAGCCTTAATAATAATAAAAATATCAGAGGCACTACAATCCTTGGGCTCTTTGGCCAAGAAGAGTGAGTAGCTTTCTGTGCCTGACACACGCCGACAGCTTTTGGATCCTTAGGCCGAGTTTCTCCTTCTTCACTGGACTAGCAAGGACCAGATGCGCACGTAGAAAGTCTGGTATACAGTCGGGAATCGAACCTGCGACCTCAGGGATGAAAGTACTGAACAGTACAGTAGGCAACACGGCTCTTAGGATAAATTAGTGTATAATTACACATTCAAACATTTTTGTTATATATCAAATGTGTGGTTTTTGTACGGCTCCGAATGCCCTTACAAGGGTATGTTGCTATGAGATTTATAACAGGCGTTTAGTATTATAAAATTAACTCATTCCTGACATTAGATTTTAATGACAATGTTTTAAGACTTTAAAATTCGCACGAAATCTGCTTAGGGCTTAGTGCTCCAGTGCTTTAGTATGTGTAGATAAACAAGAGCAGTGTTGGCCTGGTTAATTCAGCGTGCGACTCTCATCCGTGAGGTCGTAGGTTCGATTCCTAGCTGTGCACCAATGGACTTTCTTTCTAAGAAAAACTTCGTGAGAAATCCGGCTTGCCTTAGACCCAAAGAGTCGACGGCGTGCATAGGAGGCTGATCACCTACTTGCCTATTATAAAGACAAATTATCATGAAACAGATTCAGAAATCTGAGGCCCTGACCTAAAAAGGTGGTACCGCCACTGGTTCTTTAAAACAGTTCATGCTATTTAATTTTTGTATAATTTAATGCAATTTCAGAAGCCATTCGTCCTCGACCTGATAGACCAATCAATGATCGTGAACCTGGGCCCTATTTACCGGAAGGTGACCGGAAATACTGGAACGATTTGTACAAAAATGGTCCTAAAGCGTACTACGATAGATATGGAAATCCTTTGCCCGGTGAGAGAGTGTTTAAAGTAGAAATAAAGAATAATTTTAATATACAAACATTATGATAACTTTTAGCTTAGATTTTAGTTTTTTTGGATTAAGTTTGGTAATTTTATTTTTGTTGATTTGGTTTTGCACTTCTTGCACTTTACCCTTAGTATTTCTTTAGTTTTTCCTTACTATTGTTGCCTGGAAGAGATCGCTTTGGAATTTATGTTATTTGTTTTTATTTTAATGCATTAACTAGTAAATTAACTTAGAACAGTTAGCGTAAGGTTTACGTTTAGTACCTAGTTTAGTACTTGGAATTACTGTTGGAAACTTATGTTTGATTAAATCAGTCGTTAACTAATAAGGCATTAAGTTTCGTAACCGATTCTGCAATTAAACTGACTAGATGATTTACGTAAAAACTAAGTATTTATTTTTCATGTCAATTATTAATATGGATTAAATATTATTAGCGATTTAAATATGTATTTTTGCATTATTTAACCTTTAAGGTTTCAAATTCAAACTAATGAAATAATTTATTACATTTGACATATCATTTGTAATAAATTCACGATTATTATTTTTCATCTAACCATCACCGAACTCCACAATAGTTATATCTGCATTTCCAGGTTACACTCGCGTCCCAACAGAAAGCCGTCCACATATAAAGATCGAAAGAAATCCACCAAGAAGAGGCTCTGGTCAATGGGTCCAGGTGACAGCGATTCTGTAATGGAAGATGTGTTAAAAACTTAGTACTAGTAGTAAATCAATATCATAAGTGGTGATTTTAATATTAACTTATTAGAAACAAAACAGAAATAAGTTATTTATTTTAATGTTTTTTGGAACCAACTAGAGTAAGTTTTCTTTATAGATATATTTTTATTGTGATTACTTACATAAAGAAATTTTAATAAATTCCTTTATACAGTGGACAAACTAACGTTTTGTCCTACATACCTGTAAAAAATTCAAATAAGGTATAGGCCAATTACATGTAAAAATTTAGAGAAATTAAATAATACCTTGACCAGTAAATTGTGTGTTCAAAACTTTAATAATATTTGGGACCCTAATGAGTTCTATGCGGAGTTTTTTACAATTAATGACATTGTTAAAAACAAAAAGTATTTACACCAAGTTCTTATTTAGTGAATGGCGTCCAGGTATTCTAAGAGCAGGGATAAATTTTAACTTATGGCCTAAGGCAACATGTAAAAAATACAAACTTTCATCAGCTGTTGCGAAATATTCAAAACTTTTAAAAGTGTGTGCAAAATTGCTAAGCACTTATATTAGTAATAAAATAAATCACAACATAAATCCTCAAATTAATTAATGGTAGAAAACATAATACTGAATTTAACTTGAGACTGCACATCCATAAATCTAAATAGTAATTTAAAATTTTTATCAATATTCCCTTTAAAACTCGAAGCTTTAAGTTCATCATCCCACTTTCTTTTCGTTACTTACGAAGAATGTAAGGGCATGCCCCTACGGAGTTTCGATTTCAATATACAAACCCAGGCTTTATGAAAGCTTTTAAAGATCTTAAAATTAAATCTAAGAAGATCTTTGGGGATTGTCTGTAAAAGTCTGTAGTTCTATCATCGAAACTTTGCCCTTATTTAGCTTTCATATTTAAACACATTACAGAGTCTTTCCCGATCTCTAAAAATAAAGTAGTTCGTTTTCAAATCGTATAGTAAAGAACATTTATAGACCTGTGTCAATTTCAGTTAGTAAGGTGTTTGAAAAGTTAATGCTCAATCAAATGTTATGTCACTTTAATAAAAACTCCATCTTTCATGAAAACAGTACGGTTTCACCAAAGGGCTTGTACAACTGACGCCGGTTCTCCCTAATCAAGAACATTTTTAACGCTTGGGAGGAAGCACAAGATGCCATTGAATCTTTTGCGACCTTTCGAAGGCTTCGATTGCGTAAACCATGAGACTCTTCTGCTGAAACTTAATCACTAGGATTAAGAACAAAGCTCTGGACTTACTAAGATCTTACTTGAAAAACAGCCAGGTTAAAGTTCAGGTTAACGGCATAAACTCGTTAGGGTCTGAAATTACAATGGGCGTTCCTCAAGGTTCAATATTGGGTCCATTCCTCTTTAGTATACATAAATGATTACCCCAATTATTCAAATAAACCGAAGATGGTGTTTTTCATGACACATATTATTTTTAAATAGATACGGTACAAAATCTACGACGTAATAACTCTATTTTGGGTCAAAATTGGTTTAGTAAAAATTTGGCACTGAATGATAAAAAACTAAATGTATTAGATTTACGTTGCCAAATGTTAAAAGTAAGGAATGTGACATAATGTTGAATGAAGAAAACTGGAATTTATTAATCAAACGGTTTTCCTAGGCATCACACTAGACGAGAAGTTACAATGGGGACTCATATCACATCTTGCGGGGCGGCTGAGCTCAGCCTTTATCGGTTAGAAAGATAAGATATTTAACCAATGTAGAAACTGCGCGTTTGGTCTATTTTTGCTACTTTCACAGCATAATGTCTTAGGCATTTTACTGTGGGGTCGGGCTGCTGACATAGAATCCATTTTTATTTTAAGCGGTCAAATTTATAATCTACGTGTTGCGAATTCTCAGGGAATATTTAAAAGATTAATATTATGACAGTACCTTGCCAATTCATTTATGAAAATATTATGTATGTAAGAAAGAATCTACATCTTTTTAGTAAAATAAATGAAAGACATAATTTTAGTACTAGAAATAAAGATAAAATAGCTCAACCATCTTTCAGATTAGCAAAGTTCAAAATTCATTTATGGGGTACTGTGTGAAATGTTACAATAAAATACCTTGTGACATTTTAAAACTAAATGAAGAAAATTTAAATGTTTTATTAAAAGTACACTTTGTAAACAAGCATATTACAAATTAGATGATTATATTCAAGATAAGAATGCTGCTGGAAACATGTGGTCCTGCTCCCATAGGACAATCCCTATGATTGGCTCTATAGCCTGGACAAAATCAAATTGGTTGCTGATTTTTGCTTTAACATATTTTTTGTTATTATTATTATTATTTTTTTTTTAATTTATATAATGCTACAAATGTAATTATTTTGTTTTGTATCTCACACACTTTTTTTGTGTTTTTTTTAATATTTTTATTACTCTTTAATGTTAATATTCTAAGGTTTCGATATTTGTAAATATGTGAGGAACATGTATACTAACTTTTTTAGTATAGTAGTTTATTCTAAGAGTACATTGTCTTCACATATAATTATTTAACAAATGTAACAAAATATTGTAAACCTATTTTAAAAGAGTAAGTGTGGAGTTTCTCTGCCCATTCTTCTCCACACGAAACTACCTTTGGAAGGGGCAACTAGAATCATCTTTATATATTTTTTTTTTTTTGACGTTCAAAAGTGCATTTTAGATGGTCTAATTGAAATAAACGATTTGACTTTTGACTTTATGATGATGAACCACAAGCTGCTGGACTTGGAGTACCAAGGTAAATATTTGTTACAAAGCTGAAGCTGTATTACGATAAATTTACCTTTCATCGTGCTTATTATATTTAATACACAGAGAAGTGTTGACCTAATGGCTTCAGCTAGCGACTAGCATCCCTGAGGTTCGAGCCTACTGGCTTCATCTTGCGACTCTCATCCCTGAGGTCGTAGGTTCGATCCCCGGTGGTGCACCGATGGACTTTCTTTCTATGTGCGAATTTAACATCCGCTCGAACCGTTAGGTGACGGCGTGTGTCAGGGACAGAAGGCTGATCACCTACTTACCTATTAGATTGGCAAATGATCAAGAATTAGATATAGAAAACTGAGGCTCATACCTAAAAAAGTTTGTTGTGCCATTGATTTTTTTTTCATTGGATTCTATCCAATACATTGAGGGTATTATATAAATAAGATTTGATATTCGTTATATCATTCAGATTAAGATACCTATGAAACAGGCGTTTTAAAGGAGTTCTAGGCTTTTTCATTTTTCGCAAACCTTTTTTACAGATACTGGCCCGTTGCCTATTTACACAAAAGTCCACCACCAAACACCACTTACTTTAGATTTAATGAAACCTCTACCACAACTGAACGACAAGTACAAACAACAATTAAACCAGAGTTCCGACACAAGTCCATTGAAATCGAGAGTAGATCGTTAGAAGACAGAACTGAAAAAAGTATAGTTTCAAAGGATGACGATATAAGTTTTGAAGTAGAAGTATCTTCAACGACCTATAAGCCGGAAACTTCAACAACAGAAACTAGTACAACAACAGAGGAATCAAAATTAAACAATACAGAAACAAAAGCCGATATTTTCGAAGATTATGACTATGTTAAGGGTCTAGATGGGAAACTCGGCGATTTTACATCTATAGAAGTTTTCAACATTGAAGACGCAAAGACAGCGGATAAATCTGATTTTAAGACTTTGGAAGCTGAGGAAAAGCAAATTGAAGCCATTGGACGCTTGTTAGCATCGAAACGCGGTGGAAAACTGGTTCTGGATTCAAAAGATTTTGAACCAAAGAACATAAGGGTCGATAAAGATTTTATGGAAATCAAAAATCGAGTCCCAACTAGAAGGGGAGTTATCCAAAGAGTTAGTAAGGAAGAATTGAATAAAGAAGTTTCTAGAGTTTTAAATGATGGCAGTCTGGAAGTGAGTGAGACTACATTTGTGAGACCACCCCGAATTCTAAGTACCACAGAGAATATAAGAAAAGCCATGGTTAACGGTAAAGTGTTTTATGATGCAACTGTACGTGAACAGAGAGATAACAGTAGAAGAGGAAAAAGTCTTCGTCTAGAAACAAATATAAAAAAAGACGTGAGAAGAAATGTTAATCCGATTAGAAGAGTTAAGAGGGTATATAAAAAGAGATATAATCCAGAAGAGGTAAGAAAGCGATTGCTAGAAAGAGAGAAGAGTAAAAATAACACTGATATTTAGCTTTACGGTTAAAGATGCTAGATTTAGTTGTATTAAATCTATTAATATTTTAAAATACAGATAAAATAAATCTCAACCGTTATATAACGCTTATAGGGCTTCATTACTCGTGACTTAATATATTTATGTGTATGTAATGTAAGGAACATTTAAGAGATATTTGTATATTTTTCGCAGTTCGCGCATCTTTGGCTTCTTTTCAGCTTCTTCCAGCGATTTCCTTACTTTTTTGTATACAATTTGGATGTAGTTCTCTCTATATATTATGATGATGTCGCCAACATTGAAATATGGATACATAGGAAGTGCCCATTGGCATTCTTAGATTTATTATCGTTGTGTGTTATTAAATCAAATGCTAGACACAATATGTCAAATTAAAACCGTTGATTATTAATTCGACTAAAAAGATGAATAACGTAATTTTGTAGATATTTTTTTAATTTCAACGTTTATCACGAGAGCATAGTAATTTTACGACTGATTCGAAGTAATTCGATGCGTGTAATGTTCCATTCGAAAGTTAAATGATGATTGCGAGTAATTTTAGGCAGTAAATCTATAAAATATTGTGGAAATTACATTCTAAAATAGTTTCACCTCGTTATAAGTGTATTTATGTGGTTATATTTAACTGTTTATTAAAAACACAAGTTGAAATCATAAAATTAATTATTTTGCGTTATACACACACATAGATTGACGGAACGAGCGATTAACAAATTAAGAAATTTAAAAAAAATTAATAATATTGTCAGTGCTTAAATATTAAACTTCGACAATTTTTTCCAATTATATATTTATTTAAATAAAACCTAAGCATAATAATCAAATATACAGTATTTATAAAGGTTCCTGTGGCAGTGTACCTTTAACGCTGGCAGCATTTCCTCGCTGTATTGCGATACTTGTTCGTTGAGCGAGGAAAGCACCAGGTCACCGGTACTATATACCAGGCGCCAACTTAAATCTTTAATTATCGCCTGTGCACTTAAACGGCCCACGGCCCAAGAGTCTCTCCTCCTACTCCAAAAGGAACAAAAAGAGTCGAAGTTCGAGAATAGATAATTGAGCCGTTTATTTTCCGCCTGCTCCGACTAATTTTAACCAAGGGTTTTGAATATGTCAAGTTTGAATATCGGGAAAAATTAATTAAATTTCAAGCAAATCTTGTGCGATCCATTAGGGTTTTACAGGATTACACTAAGTTTTTATGTCAGCCCCCTAAAACAATACTTTACTTATGATAATTAATATTATATAAGGAATCTGTTTAGTAACATAAGATACGATTGTCAGTTTAACTCAAAGTAATTTTGGGTTGAAATGACGACGTAATTAGATTTATTTTTATGTTTAATTATTCTAAATAGTGAATTTTGTCTATTATTATTAGTACTAACTTTTCGATGGACTGTATCTCTGTGAATTATTGTTTGCGTCTGTCCCGATGGGATAAATAATTGACTTAATATAATTACTTTAGCGGGCAGTATCTACATACGAATGTGTACTATACATTAAGTCGAACACTTGTTAGTTCTAAGGAAATGTATGTGACACAGATCATGGATTAGGCTAGAATAAATATATCGATGAAAGCAGTTACCGACAAGAGTTTTATATTTTATATTAATATGAATAAATGGCAAATAAATGAAGTTTTTTATTATATTACTTTAACATAAATATATAACGTTCCATTCCTCATGAACGAAGACAGAAAATCCATCCTAATCGTCCTTGTACCACTCTTTTAAGTTAACCCTTCGTGGATAGAATCCGATACAAGTAGTTACGCCACTGGTAAGTATCAAGAGTCGAGCTTCATAGTTAATTTTGGAGACTGGAGTATCGTGGTCCATGGCACTAGGTGATCCACCAGCGGATTTGTTTACGGTGTGCCCATCAAATATATCATTTCCGGACAGTATAAGTACGAACTGTTGAGAGAGCAAATTAACAGCGAAATTGTTTACAAAGAAAGAGGAAAAATTTTAAAAGCCGCGTTACCGATGTTACTCACGTTACTAAACATTACTCGGCAAACGTAGAAAGCTAATGTGTGACTCAGCTGAATTAATATAGGGCTGTGTTTTAAGACTTTTATTATGTAGTACACAAACTGGTTCCATTGAAACATGGATCTGCAATCATCACTTCTCTCAGTCATCCAATGGGTTGTAGTCTATGAAACTAAGGGCCACTGTCTTCTTAATAAACATCTCTGTCCTAGGCGTGATAGACTGTTCCCTTGTGCTGAGGCTGTTTCTGCACAGAGGTCACTGTGTTTGCCTAACGTACAAAAATCCTCGAATCAGTGAGGTCGCTCCGTGAAACCTGCGAAGTGCCCAGGAAACTTCTAAGCTTCAGAAGGGAGCTAGGCAGGACTTAACGCACAACGGACCAAATGAGCAGAAATTGAGTCCAAACTTCCAAACTTAAGTTGGCTTCCTATCTTTAATTGAAATTTAATACTCAGTGATGATATTATCCACGACAATGACTTTTAAATGAAGTCTTGCTGATCCTTTCCTTCACTGTACAAGATCGATATCCTTGAACGGAAAGAACACTAGAAAATACAAGAAAATTATCAAATACTACTTATGGTTTTAACACAGGATATTCGACAAAACATTATTTTATGACATGACAACCCTACATCCGTGCTACCGATAAGTTTGCATAGGCACGTATTATATGCAGAAACTTTGCATTTCTCCTGAGAAAGTCCGTATTGAGCTTTCTACATTAACTTTGGAGTTCATCCCGGCCGGTAATTTAATTGGCATATCCTGTGTAACTACGTGGCAAAGTTAGAATGGTTTATTATATTTATTTAAAACAAAGATATGATAGAACCAAAATGGCTAGGTAAGAATTTCATAGCAAGTATTTGTAGGCAAAGATTGTGGGTATAATTCTCGGCCAAACAAACTTGTTGGTAAAGAGTTTCGATACTTCAAACAAAAATGATCTAAGATGTAAAAATCAAAGTAGTGAGATTATCTCAACGCTATCGGGCAGGCTTACCACGATAATTAAGGGTTTGAAGTAGTCTTTGCAACTTTGAGAGGAAGCGAGAAATGAATAGGACAGAGCAATATTCAAAACTGATTTATTGTTATAAAACAATATATTAAAAACTACTTACATCTATGTACAAATGAAATCCAAATGTATTGGATGTATGAATAATAAAAAGATAATTCTTTTATTTACATATAACTATTCTTTCCATTAAAGTACATTATTAAATACAACTTAAAAGTTGTTTTTATAAGTCAATATCTTAATACGGTTGTAGAGGTAAATACAGCTTTCCCTATTATCTTTCTTCTATTTAGTTTTAAAACAATGCCTTAAAAACAGCATCACAAAAATAAAGATATCAAGTATCAAGATTGGTCTAACCACCTGCTATTTAAAGTGAAATCTGAAATTAATATCATTACATGGTTCAAATCATCGCAACCCGAGTCAGGGAAAGCTGGTGAAAACGACCTTAGGTCATCTTGACGCTTTCCTTAACACTAGGGTTACCAGGGAAACAGGATCTATAGACCAACGCCTTCCTAAAGGGAAATAATAATCGTAGGTACATCTAAAAATTACAGAATAGAAATACAAATGAATTCTATGTTAATGACTAATAGCTGCAATGTTTATTGATTTAAAGCTTAAGTTTCTTTTCATGGAGTTCCTGGAGAAACGTGAAATACCACAAAAGCGATGTGCTGACGACATCATAAAGCTTTCTAGGGAGAAATGGATGGAGGAAGTAAAGAACAGATCCAAATGGAAAGCTCAGGAGGGGGTCTTTACCCAAAAGAGGTCTATACTGCAGAACTCGAAGTAATGGAAATAACAATAACCAATACAGACTAAATATATAATAACAAAACTAACACCCTTCTGATTTGTAATTTTTATAGTATGGAATTAAAGTGGATTTGTTATTATTATTAAAGTAATAGGAAGAAATAATATTTGAGCAGTTAAAAGTTACTATTCAGCAGTAAAAATTAACCAAACCAGACTTTTGAGTCTAGGGCTCCTGGTTTCCTTACCATTGGCTTTCTCTGTACGAGCGAGTACGGCGGAGGAAGGTACGACCTAAGGGTTCGCTCGCTTTATCCACTAGGAAAAATTAATATCTATTTGAACATTAGTACTGTATTTTGACATTTAAGTTCAGAGTATCTTAACACCGGAATCACAGGCGTTTTTATAACGATAAACTATTTAAAATAATAAGCAATATTTGAATTAAATCGTCAATTAATTATATTAATTACTCACAAAACCGTTTACGTAAATGATGATTAAACTCGTATATACACTAAGCCATATATCACACTATAATCACTGTGTTGAACACTCTAACGAAGACAAAAAAAATTTATTTGATAATTTGTTTGTAATTACAAAGTATTATATAATAGTTCGAATGTACCATAGTCCTGACTGCCAAATAATAAACTCAAACGGTTGGAATCAAAACTATAAAGCCACAAAATTATGTCCGTTGATTCACGGGTCATTGAACTCTTTGGAAAGTTATCGCACCTATAAGGTTGTTTAAATAATACTTTTACTAAGATTACGAGAGAAAGTCACTTTCGCTTTGATATGATGCTTGTTGCTAATCGGGCTGCAATCATTTTATGGGGTCCCAAGTCTCTCTATTACACGTACAGAAACTTGGTTCTCTTTGGAGAAGCTTAAGAGAATAAAATTGTCTATGTCTGTCTCCCTATGTCGAGTATGGTGACACTGTCAATTAATTCCACAGAGCAAAGATGTTTTTGTTTGATTCAGACAAATTTAAACATTGCTTCTATCCGGTTTAAAACGTTCCATTAACCGAATTTCAATGTTTGCCAATTTTTTAGGAGTGCCGAGACATTACGTGAATAATAATCGTGCTCTAGACATCATTATAGTTCCATCTATAGACACTCCTTTACATTGAAGAATTTTCGGCTTTCGTTTTC